CGAGAATTCCAGTTTTCATATTTATAGTTATTATTACCACACATTTAGTAAAAGTACAAAACTGAAAATTATATTTAACAAAATAACTGATCTAATGTAGGATGATAAAATTACCAAATTTAGACATATTTACCAAATTTTAACTCGGATTATAAAATAATATTTAATTGTTAATTTTACCAAACTTATTAGCAAAGCGCTTCGGTAAAAATTTCCGCTCTTTTTGGTGTTCCCATAGACCCAGACACACAGTAAATATTACCATATTCTGTTATTTTTTACCACACTTTTTTTTTTCTCAGTGTATAATTTAATATCTATTTATACTATCTTAAAAATTAAATGAACTGTGGGATTTCAAATGATAATGAATTAAGGTTTAAAATTAAGTATCAGTGAAAAATATAGTTAAATATTTAACTTCTGTATGTAATAAGTGACGTTAATTACAGTTTGAGTTATATAAATTTTTTACTATTTTAATTATAAAGTTTGAACACTTCATTATACTTTTAATCCCAGTTGTCACATCCAAACGCAGTTAATAACGTCCAAAACGTCAATTCTGTAAGAAATAAAATGATTGATTTTAATAAGGTAGAACTTTATCTGAACTATTCGAAGATGTAAATTAAATATATTGCTTGATAAAGAAAAGCAAATTAAAAAAAAATTGTTTCACAACTACTTGCATGATTAGTAAAATAATCAGATTTAACAAAGAAATTAGGTATATTGTTAACAAAAATGGTCCTCACGACTATTTTTATGCAAATTATATGGATTTATTAGAGATTGTCGAGCAGATTAAAAATTTTACTGCAATAGTAAAAAACAACAACTTTTAATTGTTCGATGAAAAGTTTAAAGCGGAACTTAAATTTTGGTCTGAGTTTTTAATCTGTTTGTTTTATTTCAAATATAACAAACAAAAGAAATTATAACAGCAAAATAATTTTGTGAAGTTGATATAAATGGACGGATCATTGAAGTTATATTCAAAGAAGTTCCGCAAAGAAACATTTTTAAGACTATTTTTTAACACGTTGAGCGCCGCGTCAGCCATGAGTGGCTGACCCTGGACTTACCATTTAGGCCGCATCAACCACCGGTGGCGGACACTAAAATTACATTTAGGCCGCATCAGTCACCGGTGGCGGACACTAAAATTACATTTAGGCCGCGTCAACCACTGGTGGCTGACACTGAAATTACATTTAGGCCGCGTTGGCTGACACTGAAATTACTTTTAGGCTGCGTCTGCCACCGCTTACTGACACAGACCTTTCACATAAGCCGCGAAACACAGCTGGCTGACAGCGTATAACATGATATAGAACTATAAAATTTACACTATTTTATGGAATTGCAGAAAATTTATTCAAAATTTAACTTAATTATTGTGATTCTTGGTTTATTAAATTCAATTTATTAGGTTCTTATCCACCACTATTTCTAAACGATTCGTAGGCTTATATAATTCACCACTTTTTTCAGATATGTCATGCTAAACCTTTTAAAAACTAGCAAAATCTGTCTAATATTTGCAAATTTAGTTTGTAGTTATTTACCGTTGTGGCCTGAAGGGCTAGACATGTAAAATTGGCGTGGCGTTTAACGTGTTAAAATTAAAAGATAGTTGTGCAAAAATTTTGTATTATTCGCTAACAATTGCGTGCTTTTAATTAAATAGTTTATCATTTTATTTTCACAAGCTTTGAGTTTGATTTCACAATGGCAATAACGAAAAAAACAGGATTTTGGCCTAATAGTTTGTTTTTTTTGAAGTTTTTTTTTAATATTATTATTTTTTGCCATGCAATTAAAATTACGAAAATACTTAGTGCGAAAATTATGATTCTTTCGATTTTTGAATTCACTAATTCATGTCTGAAAATAATCAGGACTTATGTCTTAATTTGTTTAAATTAGCACCAGATTAAATTAGCACTATCTTTGTTTTATTAACTGAATAATATAGGATGCAAGTAACCCGCAATATAAGATTAAAACTCAAATAAAACAAGAAAAAAAAGGAAAAACAGTTATCTAGAAGAAGAATAAAATTATTACAAATTTAATAACCATTGAATAAATTATTAGAAACTTTAAAAAAACTAATTTAAAATTAGAAAAATAAACTACGAAGAAATATAATTTTGTCATCAGCGCACACGATTATTTCCGCAAGCTCTTTTTAATATTGCATTAATATATCCGACGCAATATATATATTTATATGTATAGCCAAATCTCTCTTAAAGTGATATGCATATAGATTTAACATAAATTTATACGTTTTATTATGTGAAAAGATATATAGATAATTTTAGTTTTTAATCTAATTATCTTTTAGAAATCTATCAACTTTGAAATCTATTATAAATATTATAAAACTAAAAACTTGTTTGTT